CACACACACACACACACACACACACACACACACACACACACAAAGGGCTCCTGAAAAATCATTTAGATGAAGCAGTCCACCGTTGTGAGACATTGATTACCGTTTACCAAGCTGGAGCATAAATGCAGTGTGTGAAGGAGAGATGGCTCGGATAGACACGGGGAGAGAGCAAGAAAAAAAAAGGGAGAGAGTGGGAAAGAGAAAGAGAAAAGGAGAGCGGAAGAGAGGCTGATAGATGATAGTGCTGTGGCAGTAAAGATGACAGATAAAGAGGTAAACCAGGGGATATTTATGGCTGACAGAGAGGGGACCGATTAGGCCACCTAATTGATCCGGACCTGTGGTTAGGTGCCTAGTTCATTCTCAGCCAGTATACTCTCTCTCACACAACACATGCACATTTTCACAGTCACGCTCCTGACTGCTCACACCTGCTGTCTAGGTGCCGGTCAGGGAGGGTCAGCCTGCAGTCACTTCATTACCCCCTCCGGGCAGGGAGTGAATCAACCATATTGACTCTTGAGCTCTGTGATGGGATCGCTGGGTAGGAGAAGATAGAGAGCTGAGGGCTGTGGACAGGCTCCATGGTGGATTTTCCAGCCATGTTTGTACCTAATTTCAAGGAGAGGGTTACAGGCAACACTTTGATCCAACAATTTTAGAGGACTGTGGCTTTGCTGAGGAAACTCAGGTAGTTTTTTTATGCTTTTGCTACTCATACATTCATTGTTGCATCTGAGGATACATTGCTGTGAGCTTGTGTTGGAGCAAGGTATCTGAAGCTCTTTCCCGGGGGCCACTACTCAATGCTGTTCAAATTATCATCATCATCGTGTTTTGTCATCATTTATATTAATAAGAGTTGTTGCACATTTTTGTGAATACGTTCGTATTTGCTTTCTTGCTGAGAGAAGGTTGATCCCACTCTCATGTTTGTACGCTAAATACAGGCGAGAAACTGAGCTTAACTAAGTGTAAGTGCTGGAAGCAGTCAAATAAATATGAAATTATACAGAATTTGTTTCATCTGTACACAAACAGACTTGTAAAAAGTTGTTGTGGTTCGACAGGAATTTAAGTAAAGGAACTGATAACGTGTTTGTTGGTAAAGTCTGGAGATGTTGGTCAGTAGATTGTTCTTGAACATCAACATCTGTTAAAGTAGATTTTTTAGTCCATTTAGTTCAATTTAATTCAATCCAATTTAATTTGTCTGGCCCAATATCACAAATCCCATTTTTGCATATAACATATAACATTCTCTGTCCTTGGACCCTCACATCGGAAAAGGAAAAACAAACCATATCAAACCCCTAAATGCCCATGGGCATTTAGGGGTGATTTTATATTCACATTTGACAGCAGTTTGAGCATTTTTTAAAACCAAGAATACAGTGATGACCGTGAACTGGTTAGATTTCCATTTTAAAAGGTTAAAAGTCATTCCCAACCCAACCAACCAAACAAAGAGTTAAGCAAGAAGTGGATGAAATGAACACTAACAAATTCAGACTGCTGTCCTTATGATGCAGTCAAATCTGTTCATATCTATGAGATTGGCCTCTTCAGCCATTTGAAGCCGAAGGAGCACTACTGGATGGAGAGTTCAAACAACATCTGAACGCCCGCTTTCAATGTACAGTAAATTCAACAAATCAAAGGACTCTTCTTAACAGGATTAAAGTATGGACATGTAGGCAGACTAATGCATTGCTGAGGCAATTTTGTTTGTATCATAATTGTACTGTGCTGCACTGAAATGAAAAAAGAAATCATATCTAGATTAAACAACGACATTGACATCCAGCTTCTTGACAGCGTCATGATTTTAATTGCGTTCATTCGTGGTAGTTGAACACGGCCGTGATTAAAGATCAGACGACAAACATACATCATGTGAATTTTTAATGGTGTTTTAAAATCATGATCTGATCCTTTTATTTATTTTTTTAACTTTCCCTGTGATTCAGAAAGCCGCACCCTTGTACATAGCTGAGATTGGCAAGATCTGCTGAGCCATTCTGATTGCAACGGTGAACATGTTGCACTTGATGTACAGTACAGTGTTGATGGTTGAAGAACGATATTTCATGTTCTGTTCTACTACTGTGCTGTTGTTTGTTCCTGTGTCTCACCAACTAATGTGCATGATTTCCTGGAGGCAGGAATCTATCTCTAGTGATGGATTCCAGGTAGTCAATCTGCCT